AAGAGACCAGTATAGGAGACCGGTTCGAGGAAGAATGAGCGCTCCGAGCCGCGGCACTGCCTCGAGCGCTGCCCCCACCATCCGCCTGCTCCCACTCAGCGCCTGCTCCCACTCGCCGAGTCCTGCGCGATGAATTTGCGCGAACACAATTTTGGGCAACTTCCAGTACTTCGAAATATGCCTGGCCAGAATTTCCGATTTCTAAATGATAATATTTTACATTATTTATGTAATTAACTATTTTAATATTCCAAACACTTAATTTATTAATATTCAAATTTGAGCGTAATTTATTTTTGATATTCTACAATTGCAATTCAATTTTTATCTACTTCGTATATTCTGCGAGAATTTGATTCAGCCTCAATTTTATACTTTGAATAAATTTTGAAAGTAAATCAAGATCTACCAATATTTAGTAAAAATTGAAATGCTACACGGGTGTCAAGTTGGCACCGCACTTTCTTAAAAATGCCATAAAAATATTTCGTCAATCGGCTTTTTCAATAGTTCCCGGTCACGTTCTAAGGATTGCTTTGCTAACAAGCGGAGAGGTAGCGGAGAACCTTTGCCCGCCAAGCTACACGTTCTTTTTCATGTTTAGCTCGTCTACGACGGTATTCGCCTTGTCGATGGAGGCTATGATCACAAAATCCTACTTCCAGACTCGCCGCTACGATTTAGCGCCATGATTTTAGTGCCGCCTAAGACCGGAGCATTGTGCATGTCCCTACTCATCTCTCTCTCTCTCTCTGCAATCACTTTCTGCTGTAACATCATCCATTGAATCCTTCCAACAAACGTTTACCATTGATTTATTTTTTAAAAACACCCTATGAAGAATCGTATAATACTAGGTTTTTTTCTTACATTTTTAGCGTGAAGAAACCCGTTGTAAATGGTCAGAGTGAATCCTTCATTTGTATAATGACTACGTGTATTGTGATAATTGAGATTTAACGATTATCCGTATTGATTAATGTCAATCGATCCCGCAGGGAATAATCATGTGTGTCGTTAAGATAATTGAGACCAAATCGGTTCAGTTAGTAATCCAGGATAAACAGACTAATAGAACGATAAACCGGAAAATTGTAGAACGGAAAAATACTGTCGTATAAAAATATTGGTAATATCACACGAATCCATATGGCAATGAACACGAACGTAATTTGAGTGCAGGACAAGTTTCAATACGTAAGAATAATTTTGAATGCACTTTATCAAAAAATTAACTAATTTTATCAGTACTCCGCAGCAATGATTTGTTACGTACGTATGTACGTACGTAGCCAGTGACCATATACTGCACAGATAATAGATAGCCAATCCTACTGTGTATCCTATACGAGGAATCGTAATTAGACCGACTATTGGTTTGATTGGCCAGTATATGAAAGCACAGAAGCCACCACAACGGAAGGAAATCCTTGTTTGAATAATGCTAATTTGAAAAACCACTTACACGATTCCAAGTAAAACGGTTTGCCGATGTTTTAGCCACGTTTGGATACCTTTAGGCTGATTTACATTGCAGCACGTACTGCCGGTAAAGAATCTCAAGGAGAAGTTCGTATCTCCACTTGCAATTATCCTTCCTTCCTTTCTTCGCTCTGATGGTATTCACTAGACACATTTGAAAAAGGATTGAATAAACTTACGCTGGTAGAGACGGTTAATCAAAGCACGTAATAATTCATAAAAGTCCTCGAGCGCTAGGTAAAATGAAAACAATAGAATCGACTGCCTTGTTACATTCTTTGAATTACAAAACATGGAGGACAGGTGAACTGGAATATTTTTAATAATTGACAATTCGTCATCACGATGACGAATAAATTCTCACGACTTTCTGTTAATCAAATATTTCAATTAACAATAATTTCAATATCGCATTGTATAATGCACCAAGTAACTCGAAAACCTCGGAAAGTATTGTTTTGATAGAAAATTACTTAAATTCCTTTCTTAATGATCCCAATTGTCTACAGTGTAACGTCATTGGTAAGTGCATCATGGTACGATAATACAATTATCACAATATAACCTTAACCGAACGATACACTTTCTGCGTATTTCTCTTTCGAATATTCGACTTTATACATAGACTACGGTATATACCAATAGATTTACAGTAAATTTTATCCCATCTTTATTGTTCCTCTAAGTTCGCCCGAAGACTCTTGCTCGAATCAATAAGTTTGTTATGCGTAACTCGTGTCGAGAATTCAGCAGAAGGAGTCGAGCGTAAGAAAATGGAAGCCCAGCGGCAATGGGATGTCGTGGGGTAAAAAAGTTTCGAGGATTACGATATTTTCTACTTGAGAAACTTTCTTTTTTACGCTTAAGCACAAGAGAGAGGTTAAAATATAAAGAGGGACACAAGACATCAGAGGGATGGACTGAGAGACACGACTAATGTCAAATGACAAACTTACCGAGCCCGTCCATCGTCCTGAACCATAACCCCGCGAAGGACGGAAGTTTCTCGTGCGTCGAACTGCCTTGAGAGACAAGAAATAAGAACGCGAAAAAAGAAGAGTTAAACACATCGGCCAGTGACAAAGACGTAGAAGGGAACGTCGCTGAGAGGAGTGAAATTAATTTTGAAAAAAAAAAAAAAACCCAAAGAGATGTTAAATACAGATTCGCCAAAACGACCAACGAGTAAGTACATTAAGGAACATCCTAAGATATGTCTTTCGCATAAAGATCTGACGCTTCTACGACTCGTTCAATGTAACCGGCATAATCGATTCTCTCTTTTAATTAATTACTGTCACCCAATGTCTTTTCAAAAATTCGAATACTAAGAAATTCCAGAATTTTTCTATTCCTCAATAACGATTACAATCCTACAACCTTGTATGTGTAATCCAGGCGTGATTTGTCTTATATTATTTTTCATTAGAAAATAGAAACCGGACTTAATGGCTATGACAGGAGGTTCCCCACGGTATCAGCTACTAAGTCATAGTTATTGGTAGACGAATTGGGACCATACTATTCCCATGTATACTATACTACTATTTCCGCGCATACAACTACATAAACACAGCTCGGACCCGTACAGTGTTAACGTTATTACGTAGCCGCCTATACTCCTGGAAAGGTGCGGAGTTTGGATACTGAACGTAGCACGTAAAGAGATAATGAACGCATTAGGAGAGCGTGTTGTTACCCAAGCGTCATTAAACCAGGCCCGGAGGTAATGTATTAAAAGGGATCTCCTGGTAACTAGATCCTACATTAGGCATACCTAGCCAGTCGCAAAAGAAGGGCGATATTTTCATTCGCCGAGTTACCGACTGACTCTGTTAGTATGATATAACGGGCACATGCATTTCCAAGCGGAGGACGAAAGACTTTTGAAACTCCATAAAGAAAAAAAAGAGTCTCTCACACGTAATTTCCCCAGTGACAATGACTTCGAGAGTTGTCTGAAAGAAAAAAGGTACAGCTATGAAAGTCCATTATAATTACACGTGTCCAACTCTGTCGAGATCATTGGCCAAATTTGGAAATTGATTTCATGATCTTTCCTTACCTACCGGTCCATTCGGCCGAGTAATGATTGCTCAATCTTAATAAAGTATGGATGATGACGTGCACTTTGGAAGAAGACCCAGGTGGATTCTAAAGAGAGTGATTATTATAATTAGTACACGATGGACCTGCTAGATGATTGTTGTCGAATGACTTTTTCTTTGTATACTTTTTTATATAAATATATTTTTGAATATTGATATTGCTGTTATGCGATTTGTCATTTTCATCATAAGCTACCTGGTTAATAAGCATCAGGGTCAGGACAGCTGTGAAACGAAGGATGACCGAGATAACCTGCTCCTCTCCAGACGCTCGCCGGTAACTCTGCATCTTCATCTCTGGCTTTCACGGTGGCAGTTAGATCTCCAGGTGCCGACTGGTTCGACCGGATGAGAGTCGCGACCCCGAAACACAAAGTTGGGTTCGTAAATCCTCAGCTTACCGACCCTGACGAAATTACAAGACAGATCCGCGTTAAGTCTTCCTTCTCCTTCCTTGGATTCATATTCGCGCAGCATCAATAACAATTAATCCTGGACAGAATTACTCAATTTAGATAATATTTTTATATTTAATTATATTGAAATAATTGATTGCATGCATTTCTACGCTTTTTTCTTTCAATATTATAAATAATATTACCGATAATACATTTTTACCAAATTATTTCTTAGTCCAACTTCCTGGCTTGTGCACGTGTCAATAGTTTATATTACGACAGCATAGAAATCTTTTCGTAATCCAGACTCTCTCCGTTAGTGATTGGTGAAATCTATAAAAAAAAAAAAAAAGATAATAAAAAATGACAAAAAATTCAACATCGAAGATTCTCCCAGGCCGTAATATATAGTCATTTAAGAATTAAACGATTCGTTCCGTATGATATCATATCAGGTTGTCTATTTTCGGCGCTTGCTAAATCCAGATGCTACGATGTCAAAGTATCATATGTATAGCGCGTGAATTAATTTCTACGCTACAAACGAATTCATGGATACAGTGAATTTTATAATGAGCATAAATTAACTATGTTATTAGTCAGCCGTGAGATGTCGATCCGCTTCTTATTACTTAACCAAAATTTTGGACAAGTCAAATCTTCTAGGTGATATCATACGTATTGATAGATCAACGAGAAATATCAGTGGAGTATAAGAAGAAAAAAAAATATCAAATTTACTATATTCATCTGCTGATTATATAATAGGGCCGCAGCGATCGGTTAAGTTTTCGTATCATTTGAATTTTGACACTTGGCAAGCCTGCGGATTGTTTTTCAATCATTGATCGATCACTAATTCCTGATGGACTGAGATTTACTTTTCTTTAGACTTTCCATAAGACTTTCAATTTTTTTTATGTATACCATTTTAATCCTACAAGCTTTGATTTTTCGTATTTAATACACAATACACAATAATGGTCAATTTTGTTTATCCCTAATATATCAATTGTGCTTAATGACCTGTCGCAGTGGACTGTACATAATAGAAACTCGGTTTACCATTACAAAAAAAAGTATCTGATACAACAATGAACCTGCGATTGGAATTTCATTAACGTAGTTCGCTACAAACTAACAGGATATAGCCCCGACTCACGATATCATTTCAACCTGAAGCTTTTTCATTTGGGTATTGAAGCTGTTAACAATAACGTTAAGTAATCGAATAACAATATCTCGACGGATCGATAAACGTGTACAGAAATTCTCTTAAATTATTCGGTGTAAAAAAAGGGGGGGGGGGAACGATAAATGATCATTAGGGAAAATTGCAAAAATTTCGAAATCTGTCAGTGTCAGTACATCTGAATATTCAAAAGGTAATAGGGTGTCAGGCGCACCCATGGACCCCTTCGATTCACAGGTTTTTGAATATGAACCAAAATGAACTTTCTACTCGTTACGAGTCCCCACTGTCTCTTCTGACCCTCATTAATAAAGAGACTCTCTACGTATCTTCAACCTACTCAAATATATATATATATATATCCACGTTTAAATAAAATCTACGAATAAAATATTAGTCAATTATAAATTGGCTAAGAATTATAACTAAAACAATGATTCTGTTAGGCAAGCAAGTTTCAGAAATTATGCCTAATTTATTCGGACCATCTCGTTGGTGACATTATAAAATGTATTTTATATATATATATATACACATAAACATTTCTAACTCGTGTGTACGTATTGGCGTTTGATTCTGAGCGCGCCTTTGAAAAGGTGAGGGGGCCGTACAGTAAACGAGGCCCATTCATAAATTCCACTTCCGACACCGCCACTCCCAGTGGTTCTCACGTTCCTCACAGACACAAAGAGGAATTGGGGAGAAGTATAAAAGCGATGAGAAGAAATAAAACAGAAAAAAAAAAGATAAAAAGAGGACCACGCGTAATGGCGGCTGGAGACCATTGAAAAATGTTCCATGATCGGTGACCGAGAAACGAAGCCATTGAACGAGCTTATTGCGATGCTCTTCAGGATCCTGAGTAATATCTATCGGTACCGTTCAATAACTCCACCGCCTGTGCGCTTTTTTTGCACCGGACAAGATGGCCGCCCAACGACCATGTCCTACTTAATGAGTTACAGAAGATAAATTCGAAAATCGCCAAAGACCCAATCATCAATCGACTCGTTTATAGTCTTTCGTGAAGACCAGTGGATGGTTCATAAAATCCAGTGTCCAACAGCGTATTACCTAACCTGACCCAACCCTAGCCTCTCCGCCTAGTACATTATGCATGGCAAACGAAATTATAATATTACATTAAATGGCGTGACAGCTCGTTATAACTTTTATATAAGGAAAATTATCTTCTTTTCGATTAAACTCAGTGTTACAATTTACCACTAGGCTTCTATTTTGGCCACTACTGTTGGCAACAATATTGACTAGAGATGTTGTTGATGTTTTTGTGATAGTCGCAATTATTGGTGTGACTTCTTGCTGGATTGTATTAAAAAAATCTACACTATTAAAAAAATCTACATCTCTTCTACACGTTTTCTATGTCTGTCCTCTTGTGTTGTGCCGCAACAGCCAGTCCCCACCTTTTACGCCCATCAGCACTGTCAAAAGCAAGAAAATTTTCGCTTCTGAATTTCACGGAAACAAGTTTTAAATTTCCATAAATTAAATGATCTTATAAGTTTACCTGCCTCCGTCTTCTCGTGTCCTCACTTATTCGCCACGCTCTCTGAGGTCTCACCGACCCAGACGTTTCGCAGCTTCCATTCTTTATTTGTCTCTTATCCTTGCACTGCTTAACACAACGAAGGCAAATGAGGTCGACCGTCCGTTGCTGAATTAGACTGGGATTCACAGTTGCATCTAAGGAACAAGATTCAAAATTAGATCCGAACGAGGTTCCAGCGATTGAACGGTAATACACTTTCGGGGTATTGATCGGTACTGAAATGTCAGCTGGATATTATGAATATACTCCAGATATAAAATTCAGCTGATAGTCCAGTACGTGGAGACGGATGAATAAATTGAAAACAAAAATACTAATGAAAGACATTACGAAGTTGAAATGCAAAAACTTTGAGATTGAACAAATTATATTATTCGTCCAAACTGCTGATGTTAACTGAGTTGCATAGTTAAAAAAAAATAAAAAAAAATTACAATTACCTGTAGCGTACAAACACAAGTTTGACCAACTTTGCCAATAGTATCATAGGTTAATTTTAAGATGTATCTCAATATGGAAAGTCTCATGCGAAACTGTCCTCGCGCATAAAATATTGCTTAATATCGTCGAACGTGCCTGTTTCCGCAAATTTACAATGCAAACTCGACGATTGCGAAATACGCTCCCACGGCTAGCGTGCGAATACTACGCCGGGAGAAGGAGACCAATGAATGGACGATTCGAAGATCCATGAGCGAATTGTATTGGTCTTGGTGAGCAAACGCTGAATGGATTGGCAACTTTTGTATTTTATGATTGCTCACCGCAGTCAGCATCTGGTTGGCGAATTTACCAGACCGTTCGTCTCCATCGTCCCGATTCCCCAGAGAACTGCTCAACTTTTTTAGCCCGTCAACCTCGAAATGTACTTTTCATTCGAGCCTTTAGCTCCAGGCTGAGCTTGGGATCTCCCTCGCCCCTTGCCACCGTTCCCCTTGCCCATCTTGATCCACATTTACATTAACATGTATTTTCTGAATATTTTTTAAACTTCCTTCCTAACGAAGAACTCGTCACGCCGTCGAAGTTACTGACGTTAGTTACGAAACTTTAATCATGTTCCATAAAACTGTAAAATAAATATTTTTTAATTGAGCCCACATACGACACAGTATGAATTTTTTAATTATAATTTAACGTTAATATATATTCAAGAAATTGAATTACTCTACTGCTATTCCTTTATAACAAGGAATTGTATTTACTTGGGTATTATAAATTATTTTTGTGTATACAGCAACTTAGTGAAAACCCAGTACAAATGCCCAACAGGCGTGTTTAACGCATCACTGTGTATATAGCATGGATCGGTAGAATAGGTAATCTGAAAAAAAATAAATTTTCCAGTTACCAAACAATAATTAATAAGGATTTGATACCTGGAACGTATGACCTAACACTGTGGATTTTTCTTTCTTCCTTTGTTAAATTAAGTTGATGATTAATCATTGCCTCTAGTCAGGCAGACAATGAATTAGACAATGGGTGAGTAGAGCTAATGACACACGATTCAAAGATCAAGCGCAAAAATGTAACCTGAAAACGAAACAAGGTTAGATCGTTATCGACCTACGCTCGTTTCATTGATCTTTGACGATCATGCCTAATAACCTCAAACGGATACGCGACGTGACAAATCTAAAAAGATATGTGATAATTAGTAACCGTTTACAATTTCGAATCAATTTTTCAGTCACAATATTCAAATTAGTTCAGTAGATTAATCGTACGCACACGATTGAATCGATACCGATAATTTATTTTAGATAAGAATCTCGAGCTCTGGATTCGAAGTTCTAGAACGTGCAAGGAACTTTGGTTTATTTTGTCCAGAGGACTGATCTTGCTCAAAGATAAAATCAATTGAAAAAAAACTGATTATTAGCAATGAAAATTGCATCTAGGATAGATTTTATAGATTAATCTTATACAAGTGTCTCTTGTAAATACATATGTATATACTAACCTAACGACGAACGACAGATAGAAAAACTACGCTGATAATTATCAAGACCCAGGGCACTCGGTTAATATCATTATAATGTGTTTGGATAAATCGAAAGTCGTGACCGATGGTATAAAGGAATGTCTACGAGGAGTAGACTGAGCGTCGCCAGGATATTTGATCAGTCTAGAGATAATTATGATTTATATATATACAAACACAGACTGACCTGCTAACTTTCAATTTCCATACAAAACGTAATGGCAGTGCATACTATTTTCCATTGATACATATGCATATGCACATTTGACAGTTACGACATTATGTGCTCATAGGGCATAAAAGAAGCTTCCAGATATCCATTCGATTCTGGAATAAGAAGAGTTTAAGGTGCGCCCGGCGAATTCACTCTGGAGATGCGATCGCTTGTACTTTCACTGACAGTGAGAACTGGTGTGACCTCGACTGCGTGCGCCCTCCACGTGATACCGATACAAATAATCGTTCCACGCCCGCGGCGACATAAATGATTTCTAGAGACGGTGCCTTAAGTTTCTGCAGGTGCTGCAAACCTCGAATCCTAACCCTGACGAGCGACCGCGCGACGTTTCCTGCTCGAGCGTACGTAACCTCGTCTGCTCGAGACTGCCCATGCGCATGCGCGAGTGCTGTCCGTTAAATATGATGTTCGCGCGACGGATTTGAAACGAAGAAACGCAAGAAGAATGAAATAAACCATTTTCCTTAAACATACATTTCGTCTATACCTTACCGTAGATAAAAACTTATCTGCCAGTGTCTGCTCGACTCTACGCTATCAATAAATCGTGACCATGTCAAAATTCAGATATTTATTATCGGAATGATTCAGATGTGCGAAAACAAATCCAACCGGTTACAACGTACTCTCTCTCTTACTGAAAATAACATTGCGGCTCCAATTCAATTAACTGGTCATCGATTACTTAATGGTAAATAATAATTTATTCGACTGTGGCACGTAATGCATTAAACTACTGCGACGCATTCCAAATTAATCATCCACACGCCAAATGACATTTAAATCCGAGCTCGTCTGGTAATAGAACGTTGACCTGGCTTTTAGGGAGGATTGATTGATTTTTGATTGATTTTTTACATTCGAAAAGTTCCATCGTACTGTTTCGCGTATAGACTGTTAAAAATTGTCCTTTTAAAACCTAACAGCACTTTTAACTGAATCGCAGTTATTTAACGAATACAGAGTATCCCGACACTTCTGGGTTAACTAGACAAATATATACAAAATCGAATAATCCAAACTGTTCGTTGTAAGTAGAGATTGTTTTTTTATTTTCAAACAGCCGAAAAATCCTATTTCTACTATTTCATTTTCATCAATAGGATCTTCAAGCTGATTCTGTGCAATCTGAACGGAGCTGATTAAGACGCCTGCAGTAATCAGCCCTGATAATGGCCCTGACTGGTCTAAAGGATTACGCACGCGCATGCGCACACAGTTATGCATACGTCACTCATTGTCAGACTGAGGCTTAAGTTCTCCACTTTGAAAATTGGGCGACACATCGAGTGGCACGTATCCTTGAGACGTCACGATACGATCCATCGTACACTCGACGTCCCTCCTGCTCCCTGCCCAACGATAATCTTATATCCTTCATTAATAACGTCTGGAATATAAATCGATCGGCGAACATGCATACGTTGAAGTTTGATCTTGCCAACAAGTTTTTGATAAATAATCCATCGGTGCTCCCAAAAAAAAATGGAGCCTCTTAGCATTTTTGTCATTTAAAAAAATTAACGACGGATTAATTTTCGTTGAAAAATAAAAAAAGCATTTACTATATTTAAAAATTATGAAAGAAGCTAATTTATATATTTTTATGCAAAATCCTAATCGGACGAGCGATGCTTTAAATGGACGAGAGTTTAAATTTTGGTTAAAAAAATGTTTTTATTCGATTATAAACCGTGACAATAAATATTTAAACTATTTATACGTTTAACGATACGATTATTATAGATTATTCCCTGTACGATGTCGTTATAAAGACTGTCTTCTGAAATGTCACCATTTTGATACGACAGATATACAGATATAATTACGTACGATGGAGTTCGTAACATATCAATATTTCTATATAAGATATATAGATATAATTTATTTGTCCTTTTCACAATTTTATTTATTTTAATTTATCTGAATTTCATGTAAATTGTTAAAAAAAAATTTATAGGCGCTGCATTCTTTATTACGAATGTACATTTACAGGTGATAAAATCGACGGAATTAATTGGATCAAGATACTCATTGGGAATCTATATTAATTCCTAATCCCAATCACGATCCAAGCTTCTGAGAAGTCAACGCGATTAGTATGACGTCGAAAACCGGTTCACCGTTAAACAGCTGATACTTGCGTGATCGCCCCCAAGTGCAACACTCTACCTTGCGCAATGAGCATACAGAGACAAAAGTAAAAATGTAATGAAAAAATAAAATTTTTGATAACAGATACCTCCCGATAAGAAAATTAAAGGAATGACGTCGATGCTTGAAAACTTTGGATCTGTCCTTACGTATCTGCGGCCACTTTGTTTTTCCTTGACATATGCTGAAATCTAGCAAGAAAAAATTTGCCGTTCCTTGCTGCATAATGCAAGAAATTATCCTAACCTATCCTTACGTGCTGGCGTATGTCCTAGGCTTCAGACGACGATCGTTTTCGTAATTACTTTTTCCATTAATTAGAAATCTGTCCTTTTTCAATGTTACAAAAATACACCAGTCGACCGAGTAAACACTGATGATGTATCAGACGATTGCATTGAGAATAAAATTATATAATTTTTTCTATCATTTTTTTTTTCCATCAGAGACAAGTTGCAAAGATTTATTTGCATTCGACGAAACAGCCGCTTTAATGGGACAATAATAGAATCATCTTACTGGACAAGCTAAACGACCGTAAACAAAGTAGAGACCAGTTTACCCATTTTTTGTCATTCCCTCGAATATGATAGATTTTCTTGTTCGAAGGATTAATTAAATGTCAGCCGATAGTTCGGTATTTTTAATTATATAAAAAAAAGTTTTGGCTTGATAATAAATATATGGAATTAGTCGGACAGGAGGCTATTAAAATAATTTTTTTTTTTCAGTGCGCGATATGCAATATGAGTAGTCAATAAAATATCAATTAAAATATGGGAAATGTTTGTCGTCCAATTAAATTGAATAATCAAATTTAAATTAGTCTCTCGGCAGTACTGATCATCAATGCGTAAAGGGCATTTCATAAGCCAGCGACAAATGCGGATTGAATTGAAGACTCTGAAGGAAGGATCGATCAGAAAATATTTTATAAAAAATGTCAAATAGTCGCGGCAGGTCGCTTTACGAATTTCAATAATTAATTGGAACCGGTAAAATGGATACGTTCACTTTTCAAAGTGGATATACTCTGCTAATTAACACTTCTATGTCTCTGTACGTATAAAAATTGCAGGAGTCTCCGTAGGTAAAAATCGTTATAGCAAAGACTGAATTAACGTATTGTAAACACATTATTAAATCGTCCGATTAATACGCGTGTATCGAATCGTGCATTTCGGAAACGTCCAGCAATTTGTAAATATGCTCGGCATGCTCGTAACCCAAATATAAGCCCGATAGAACGTGCACAGTGCACTGTAACGAAATAGCGGGAAAATTCAAACTTTAAAGTCATTGCTTAGCATTTACCGTACTTAGCGCGACCAAGTTGCTCGGTCGGTAATTTTTCTCAGGAACGATCGATACATTAAGTTAAACAAGTAAATTCGCTTCAAAAGTACCTCACAGTCCAAGAGGCTAGAGAAACTCAAAGTGACAGAGTCGTCTAATTAATATTGACAGCAAGAGCAGATGACGCCTGCCAACAACATTAACTTTAGCCCTGGTCCTGCCTTCGACTCTAGAGCTACCTTCGCGTCTTTGCCTAGTTAATGAATATTAAATTTAGACGCTCGAGGGTCGTACCTCAACATCTGATTAATCAGCTCTCCTTACCGACAAGGCTATGCAATTACTTAGCATGAAATAATTAAGCGCCATCTGTTACGAAGCAAAGGGTCTGCGAATAGTTCGAGCGCACTCGCATGGTAACTACAGACAGCCTAACCAAAAACTTTGACAGAGTGCCTTGGTCGAGTAGCAGTGATATATAAATAATTACCCGCTGCGCCTTTCCAAATACGTCTTCATCGCACAGCGATTGACTCTACCAGGATAAATTCCAAAAATTAGGATCACAATTGGTACCAGAGCAACAGACACAAGTTAAAACGTAGGGACAACAAGCGACAACCTGAAATACTAAAAATAGAAGGGCCCGTAGCAGAATCTATAAGTGCATTTCTCATTGGATTATCCACGCAGATAAATACCTGGTAATCCATCCCGAAGCCAATTAAACTAAGATACTTTGGTAAACCTAGAAACTGGATCGCCTGACGATTTTCGAGGTTTTCGCTTTATCTACATATATATCCTACACATATATCTACATACATCCAATCGGTTTTCCAAGTCAACGACAGTGCCTCTTGTATACGTGTCCTCGGGCTGAAGATTATTAACTCCAAATTTTGCTCCAAATACTTAGCCAGCGATTCGTGTGAGTATATAACCTAAAAGTCATTTCGGTGCTGGCGAATTAAATCGCCCAAGATCGTGGAAAGGCACGCGTGCGGCTTTTGATCGGCCGTCGCAGACACACGTGTTTGTCCTACATGAATCACGGATCTGTTCTCCTCTCTCCTATGGCAACTTTTGACTATCTCCTTTCTGCCAGGCTCTATCTCTCTCTGTTCCCTTCTCTCTCAGCAAGTTCACTCTGTCCAGTCCTCTCTCTCTCTCTCTCTCTCTCTCTTTCACAGACTTTTGACACTCTTCGATCTGTCGGAAGTGCCGGTGGTCGTGTCTGTCGAACAAGAACTGGGGGATCTGCAAAGGCATTCACTAGGAACATCAGCAGTTACTCAACCTCCACGGTGCCATCATGGTCATCGACAGTGAGACCAATGCTACCAGTCGTGATACCACCAGTGCTGCCTCCCCTGTCGACAGCACCCTGTGACTTCTACTCCCTCCATAACACCATTACACACACCCACCAGTAATCACCTTGACATCTACACGTCAACGTGTGTTTCATAGTGAATATAAAACCATGGGAGATGCTTGGCCGACTATTAGTTTGCCTCCACCTGAGGATCGGCTCCCGCACTTTTCCTTTGGATTCGCGAATCATCTTTCGAACGGACTTTCGGCTTGAGAGATCCAATATACTTTATCGATTTTATTCAAAATCGCCGGACTACGCGTGTATGGCCTTTTTTTCTTTTATCGCCGATTTTATATATTCTTTGACCTTAAGGAAAGATATTATTGTCAAAATGATTTCGTTTAGCGTTCTCGCTCGAGAATTAAGCTTTTTAGCGATTATTGGCGTATTTTCGTTTATCGATGGGTCAGCTTCCTGTGCTGGAAAGACAATGCTGCGTGAGTATTTTTTGTAATCTTCTTTTTTATTTATTACCTTATTTTGTAGACTTACGCGAGAGGGAGGGGTTCTGTGGGATTTTGACTTTAACGAAAGCGACGAATTACATGGAAATTGCTATTGGTTGTCGATTTGTTTATATTAACGAAAAACTGTATCGATTTGCCTGTAACGCATATTATTATTATTATCCGCGCACTCATATTGCTGTGCAAAGAAAATATAGGCGAAACGAAAATATTTGCAATATAACTGTAGAGAGAGAACGAAGAAAATGTTATGTGGATTTTACATTAATAAAATTCAACAAAGCACTTACCATTTATGATATAAATATTCGATTTCGTTGACCAATTAAACTTACAATTAATTCTTCTATTATTTTTCAATATCCAATTATACGTTTTCTGTCGATGTATTTCCATGTAGAATTTTGCCAAGTATTAAAATTAAACATTAGACCGACATTTTATTATTTACTTTCATTACTTAAATTTTATCATTATTTAATTTTTAATCGACAATTAATAAAAACGTAATTTATTCTTATCCAAGATATCAGTGCAATACTTTGTACACTTATCTACATATATAACCATCATTCCATCAAGCGATATGATACTAACGATCACTTAAAAAAAAAAGCACGCGACTTCGTATATATACATATAGCTATATCAATAGTGACCACGTGCACATTAGAAAACACGTGCAACGGCAGAAAAAAAGAAATGAGTAAACGAGCGTACTTATCCAATGATTCATAAATTCTGCAGTTTGCATGCCAATCGATATTATATTTTTGGCACTGGCAGTCATTTGCATAAAATGGAAATATCATAAATTCGCGTTGAAACGAGCATTGGCGAAAAGAGAAAAAAAAAGTTAAAAAAAAAAAGTATTCAAACACATCACTTCCAGACTTCGTGAATTTCTCCATTTTTCGATTTGAAACATTAGAAAAGGAAAAAAAAATTTTGTTTAAATTTTTATCAACACCCCTGAACAAACAGCTCAAGTTATTTTGAGCTCGACGAGTATTAATTGTTATAAACCAAAGTAGCCGCGATCCTAAAACTTCCGGAAACTGCCGACAGAGGGCCAAGCGACGACAGCGCACCATTCCCCATTATGAGTAGCTAATGACGAAAACCGTCAAAACTTTTCTCTACCGGAAATTAGATGGGCTCGGCATGCGATTTCCGGTATTGTCGCCGTTCAATTAATTCAATCCGTATATCCAATACACGACATTGTTCGAATTTCGCGGTGAAAAATAAGTGCGCAGGTACACGAAGAAATCGACTGAAAGTATCTCGCGTGACAGCGAACCTGTATTTGGCATAATTTTTTTACGTCTTTTTAAGGTTAAAAAAAATCACTCAAAATATCTCGCATATCTCATCGAGCGATGCCAGTCGCGCGACTCGTCGTTGCATAAGAACCGTTAAAGCAGCTTATGCCTTTGATTTACGGGAGAATCGTCCGTTGTGGGAAAAAAATATATATTCTCGGCAGCCAATCGGATCCTCGTGTCGATAAATAAAATATGCGGCGCGTGCCATTGACGAGCTAAAAAAACTTGACTATCCTCAATTTCAAGGTGGATTTCATAATCACATGCGATCCTTAGCCACTGGCTCGTTCGACACCCACGAATCGAGCCGAATATCTATTTTCGGCTTGTGATCTTAACGGTTGACAACGATCGATGTGACTATGAGATATTTGGCGTCTCGTGTGATATCGTGATTCCCGGCAATCAACAGAAATATGGCTAATTCGTGTTTGAATTTTGGAAGACATGCTTATGCGCTTTCGACCCGAAACAGTCCAATTATTCAAGGCTTGTTTCCGCAATCGGATCAACCGTAACTACAGGCTTTAATCGAATCCATTGTACTGTCACGGTTAGCTATACCGTCCGTACGTCTAGATACAGTGACTGTGCTTAGGAATAACATTGGTAGGTGGAAAACAAATTTTATTAAAAATTCTATTATTTTTTTTGCTTTATTTAATCCAGGTGCCGGAGGTATGTCTTGCCAAGACAAACAGACCATTCTCGACGAACATAATCGTCTGAGACAATTGGTAGCACTGGGAAGGATTAATGGACAGCCTGGAGCTGCCAATATGATGGAAATGGTAACTTATGTGTATTGACTGTCACGATGAAAAATTTCATTTTACGAAACGTTAAGACATTATACGTGAAATTGGTTATGTCGATTTAGAATTATCGAATGACTCTTTTTATTTATAAAATTTATACTGTCAATAGTCCCGATGAAGTGACTGATGATTTTTTTTTTTTTAAGGTATGGGACGACGAATTGGCCGCTGCTGCACAGAAATGGGCTGATCGCTGTGGCGAATCCCATGACAATTCGCGAAATGTCCGTAAGTATATATTGAACCATGAAAGTAATAGTGTAGTGAGTGGAAACTCGTTTGAAATAATCTCTATAAGAAATCACAGTTAGCCAGCGGGGAGTCTGATTAAATTAAAATGCCAAAAAGTCTGAAAATATAAAGGAGTCTGGGTATTAAATTAATTTGAGGTGATATTTTTATTTTTCAATAAAAAATGAAAAACGAGTGAATTTATATTTAAATAAGCACTGACAGTACCTGATTTTTATAACGGTTATTTTATAACCCGTTTTGACATAACTGACCTTTTTCGTGGTTAATCATTGAAATATATTTCGCGCTGACTTTTTAATCGCAGCTCGTCAACTGCACGATGATCAACTGATACTCGGAGTTTCGATTACACGATAATTATAAGAGAATGAATCGCAGCATCGTGTGACAATGCGTTCCCGGTTATTTCGAAGTAAAATAGAAATTAGACAAGAGTTATAATTAAGGCTTTGAAGCTGAGTTATAATTTTTCCATTAAGAAATCCCGGTGACCATCCCATATTGTAACTTTCCAAAAAATAATGTATTTCGTTCTGGTGTCCTGGGGAAAAATACGATGCTTATATAAGTTTCCTTAATTGCAGGAAAACAAACTTTTGATTTTTTCTACAATTTTTTCTCTCCATTTTTCAACAACTGCGGCAATGATTGCACGGAGAGAAAAAAATTGCATATTATTTTCAAAAATTTAGATAAACTTCTTATACGCTCGTTCGATCCTCGCTGTAACTTAGCCTCGTGTTAGTCTGAGTTACTCGGTGGGGACTGCTTGATTGAATTTGAAAAAAAAAAAAAATTTTTTTCTCAATCAAGGCAATCGTTAAATTTCTCAGAAAGTTCTCAGTATCTCGTGCTCCAGTTTGACTTTTACACTGATGAGTTATGGCACGTGTACCTCGTTAATTGATAATTGATTGATCGTTCAAATTAATTGATTCTAGGAAGGTTCGCAGTAGGACAGAACATTGCTCGAACTTGGACGACAAGGCCCCCTGGGCCTTACGATGGGGAACCCAATTGGAGGCGACAAATTTCAGGCTGGTTCAACGAAGTTCAACATTATCATGCTGGCTTTAGTCGAGCTACAGGTCACTATACACAGGCAAGCTAAAGTTAATCAATAATAAAGCAAAAAAACCATTGCTCGGTTATTGTCAATAAAGAGCATTGTTAGTTTAAGACTGATTGTAAATTTAAAGATTTTTCAAGCAATTATAAATTAATTCATTCACCAGATATCATTGATATCCGTGTCAGAATTATTATGAGATATTTTCAAAATTATATACTCCTTAAGAAATTATAGGTGAAAATTGAATTTTATTCAATTATCTTTCATAAGACTTTTTCTAATCAATTTTCAGCTCGTTTGGGGTGACACTCACCTTCTGGGTTGTGGATTTTCATTTTATTATGACCCCGCCCGCGGTTACACGAAAAACTACGTATGCAATTACGGACCAAGGTGAATAACATTTTTTTTTAATACCTATCATTATTACACTGACGTACTCAAAAATCTTTAATCAAGCCCTTGCGTTAATGTTACTCGTACCCGCATTGCGATACCCGAAGAAAATCGATTAAATTTTTTTTTTTTATGATTTTTTTCAACAGTGGTAATGTCCTTGGTTATCAGCCTTATCAATCCGGACAACCAGCCTGTGGAAATTATGGAATGTCCTACTCGAATAAATATTCTGGACTTTGCTGTGAGTATTAAAAAAAGTTAATTGATGATCGATTAAGAATTATTGCATGAAAAGCGTGTAAGATACGTCAGAACATATCTAATACTCGAAGATTGGATAAAATTCAATTTCTCTATGCCTTGTTACGTGTCAATTTGATTCGATTTTCATTTGTAACAACAAATATAATTAATATTAAATTTTATAATTACAGCTCAAGGAGGATACTATCATTTGGGTGCGCAATGCGCGTATGGTTAATTTCCAAAGTTCCTCGACAACGATCATTAGCAAATGATAATGGAATTAATTTTTCGGCTGTCCACTGATAAGGGGAACGACGTGTCCGGTCAAGATTTAAACCGAGGAAAATGACGTAGTATATAGAAACAAAAAAAAGCCGAATTAGCAAATTGTACTTAAGTAATATAAGACAATTGTAATCTAAGGTAGACCGTGCTCGAGTAATCACGGTAATTGTAAACGCACTTCTAGTCCACTAGTTTAGTAATCTATTTAATCATATACGTAAATCTCCATGCACGGTCGAATTAATATGCGAAGTGAAATATTAAAGTTGTATAAAGTTATTGAGATTCGTGCACAAGTCACCAAGAGACAGTACAGCTGCAGATGACAGGTATGCTAAAGATAAAAAGTTGCCTCGAAGCTAAATTTGTTTAAAATGTCGCAACTTTAGGTAAACAGCTAGACAGAGTACTAGTTATAGCATCATGTGATAATACATATTACACGTGTATTGTATATCTTATAAGTAGTACAGTACAATATTTAGATATAGGTAATAGATACACTGTACGCGGTAACGTCACTATGGCAAGAAAATACATATCCTTTCTCACAGGAGAGCAACGTCTAATGAGATTTGAAAAGTTCCGTTCCCGGTGAAAGAAGATCGTGCGAAAAGTATCAGTAGATTTGCGAGGGGTCTTTGTATATGGCGAATTGAATTGAGATTCTTTCGTTCCGACTGCTTTGCCCGTTATCGTTTATTATTTTTTCAACGATCTAAGCGTGATGTGTCGAGAACACGGACGCTATAAACTGGTGCAGGTGGCGCGACTGTGTAATGTAGTCCGGCGTAACGTATCGTAATTCAAAGTGCAGATGGCGGCACTGGCGCACAATTTACCGCCTGACGAATGCCGGAAAATTGTACGACGATTGTATGTACGTTAATTAGGAAGACACGATGTAAAAGCTCTGAGAGTGAGAAGTGTAGTGTTGAATCGTCGAGCGAGCATTGTGACAAAGAAGTTTTGTAGGCTTTGTGAAGAAATTTAATAAGTGGAACTGTCCGATAGCACCTGATAGTAACGAAGGAAGTTTGTACCATCGGCCGTACATTTTGAAGTATTTATATAGTTGGAAATAAATAAATATGATTAAAAAAATTTGTTTGTCTTTGGTAACGTTGGACTTTATTGCTACGAGAATCCTTGGGGAAGTCTTTTATCCTCATGTTGAAGTATTGGGTAAGATGGATTTTAAAATACGGAGTTGTATTTCATTTCTATCCTGGAACCAACTTCAGGTGCGTTTCTCGCGATTTACGTTTATACGTGAAATTTCATTATTTCAGAAACTGGTGGTATAACGTGTGACGTTATACAAGATATTGTTAATACTCATAATCAATTGCGCGAAAAGGTAGCGAAAGGTCGCGTAGCCAATCAACCACCTGCCTCGAATATGCGTAAAATGGTAGGTGTATTGCGACATTATTCCGAAAATCGAGCGGTCGACGAAAGCTCCACAATACGGTCGATTCAGAGGTTAGCTCACCTGGGAGAACGTCGTGGCATGCGAAAGGCTGGGCGAGGATAGGAACAGAAATACGAGAGACAGAGTAAGAAAGCGAGCGAAAAGTGACAGACAAGCCGTTCATAAGTTTACAGAGCTTTTAAAATAGAGAATTTTCACGTTAGGCCGCGAGAATAAGTTTGATAGGATCCAATATAACGGGAGCGAGATCTACCAAGGTGCGAAGATCTTGCGAAAAATTAATTTGGGGTACGCCATCGATAATTCGAGCGTTATAAGGCCGATGGTCACGCTGAGGGGGTAAACCGCGCAAAACGCTGGCTGGAAAGCCGAGGGATTATCCAAAAAAAGAAGGGAACTAAGATTTAGCATACCACGAGAAAAGATAGAAAAGAGAAAATATAATTAAACAAATACAACAAAATTTCCTTCACCGGAAGACAACCAAGCAGCAGAAACAGGGGTCCTAAAAGCTTCGTAGTCGAGAAGATAGTCGGTAGCTTAGAAATTACACGACAGTTCCATAGTGCCAAGTTAAAGAAAATGACCACTGATTACGATACATCGAGATAAAAGATAATTTTACAAAAAAAGTCTACATGACACATGGTATCCGGCACTATCGTCCTTTTACTTGGGGGATTGAAACGATAGTCAGTCCCGGTAAGCAAGAAAATTGCCTTCGAGACAAGACGGATATTATTTCAGATTCGCAAAACATTTCTAAAATTCTGATAGCGAAAAAGGTACTCACCAAATCTAACGGGAACGTAATCTGCGGAGGCCTGTCCTTCCTTCCTTCGCTCGATTATGGTTTCGGCACTGGCTTCTTTCCTTCGATTGCTGATTAATTTCACAAGGTTCGAGATAACACTTGGCACGGACACTAGCTAAGACGCTCGAAACGTAACTGTAGGAGCCGGAATTCGCCGCTAGGGAACGAGCCCTAAGGGCCCCCCTCCATAAATTAGCAATTCCCAAATCCCAATGAAAATAGATTTTAAATTAAGCGCCAGATTCAAATGCACTCAATAGATATCGATTATCTTTCGATGAAACATAAAGTTACGACTGACCGAATAAAGTGTAGATTAATACCGAATAAGAAATTACAATAGAGTCTCCGATGCGATTTAATTAAAATATAATTTACATAAATTGTCCTACGAAAAAAATACATCCTAAGAGAATTTTCCTTATTAAATATATTTCGTATATTAACAATCAATCGTCATACAGTATTGGGATGACGAATTGGCGAGTAGAGCTCAAGCTTGGGCGAATCGTTGTACGTTTCGACACAGCAATCCAAGAGACATAAAAGTTGGTGTGTATATAAAATTATTTAATATATCAACTAATTATAAATGACGTAATAAAAATTAATACCGGTTTCTCGATTAAGCCTTATATAATGATAATTCACAATATGTCAAATAGCGAGATTTCCAGTCGGTCAAAACATCGGTCTGACAAAAATCAGAGGACAGTCTACACGCTATATGGAATTTCGACAACATATACAAAGTTGGTTTAACGAATACACTGATTACAAATTCAGACCATACGATAGGAAACCACCAAGCACTGGCCACTATACACAGGTGCAGTAAACGATTGAAAGTAACTTTTCAATATTATTCATAATTACACATGATACACAAAGATTAAGGTTATGTTGATAAAATCGAATGAAATTTAAAAAATTAATTACTTTATGCAATTCTTTAATGCATATGAATTTCACAGATCGCTTGGGCAGATACTTATCTAGTTGGTTGTGGATATTCTCGATATAGAAAAAATAATATTGTGTATAAATTACACGTCTGTAATTACGGACCCGCGTAAGTATCATTTCCGTATCCATTAACATTATTTTGTCCATGCTATAACTATGACTTTTAATGGCTTTGTTTTTCATACAGAGGAAATTATTTGAACAAGAAGCCGTATAACGTCGGAAAGAAACGAAGGTGTCCGCGTAATTTTGTATTATCCAAAAAATTTCCTCATCTGTGCGGTACGATTTTGAAGGAACTTCTTTTGGTAGAAAGAAAAGAAATTTTGTTCAATTTTATACTAAAATTCTCTTACCCTTATCAGACCTCAAGAAAACGCCATCGAGTTCCTGTACGTCTAATCGACGTAAATTCGACGAAACGATGGAAAACTATAACGATTCTTTGGACTATGAGACTAGCGACGATAGCGAATACATTTTATTACGAGACATTATACTGTCGATTACACTAAATCTCTAAGTATCGATAAGATTGGTTATTGCAATAAGAGTATTAAATAAAACAGTAGTCAGTCTTTGTATTGTACGTGTAGAGACATTGATGCACGTCGATGAAATACTAAAATTAAATACACCTAGTATATAGCAGAGGTAAATGTAAAAAGAGAAATACAAGAAACCCAGTGCAGGTCACTTAAATAATATTTATTCTTATTTTAAAATATATGCCTGGAGTAGCATAGATATTCACAAGTGGGGCTTGATTTAAATGTATTTATATCTTCACAGTTTGCATTTGAGGTAAATCTAAATTATCACGTTTGATAACATTTGGTAAAAGACAGTTTTGAGATATTGATAATGGTGACGTTATCTATCTTTTTAGCGTTTATAGTTCCGCCGTTCTTGTATCGTAATGGTTATAAGAGTTACGCGACGCGATTACGTTTGCGCCAGAGATTGAATTTCGTCAATAGACACGATATCCGTCAATTGTTACATATGCGTACTATGTATTATCGATATAGTATGAATCTCTTGTGAAGCTTTGTAAAATAGATTATCTCAATAATTAGTTTACTTTGTGCAATTGCCCAGTCGCTGTCTGTTGTTCGAGTTGCGCATTTTTAAAAACGGCGCATGCGCACTTCGAAAAGAAACATCGACCGTGACAAGATGGCGCATTGAATGTACCATCATTTTTATCTAAGAATTCCAGACGTTCGACTGGTCAAGGACTCTGCGACCGGAAGCTGACGGTTCATTTAGCAGGTATCCTCAGTAGTTTGATGTCGAGAGTATTTAATTTGAAATAATTAGCCTAAGTAACACGAGGTGAGGTGTGTCGAGATTAAATATTTATAGTCACGTATAAAAACAAAAGGTGACTCCGAGCTCTTCGCGCTCGCGACGGATTTCTGAACTTGTAGTTGTAAAATGTATGTATATTTCATTTTTTCTCATATTTATAATATATATAATATATATATTAAATATATATATTATGTATTGTATGTACATTTATCTACGAGTAGAATCACTGAACCCGATGAATTGATGGCTAGAATGTAACGAACCCCTTCTTTATATTTAAATTCAAAATGATCGGTCAATAGCAATATAGTATGGCAACTGATCAAAGATACACAGGTAAAAAAACTTCAAATTCTATCGATCGAATTTAACATTATGATTCGACCTGGCATAAACAGCAATTTGTGTTTGCTGCTTAAGTGTTTAAAAATTATTTTTCATTTTACTTCTTTGTGCCTTACTGCGTACTAACACATAAAACCTGAATGTTCATTGAATCTTGCTATTTACAGTTATCAGTCACAATCACAAAGATTCGCTCTCGCATTACGCAAACAAAGAATCGCACAAAGAAATATTTCAATCAATTCTACGATATGGCCACGTGGAATTACAATTTTTCAAAAAAAAGTAATACATGAGCATGAACTTATATATAGTCACGTGGATCAACCGTCTATATTATGAATCCTCGATTTTCTTTATCTTTCCTATTACCATCTTTTTCTTTAAACCTTTTTTACGGTAATACCTCAAAATAAAAAAAAGGTCTTATCTCACGGAGGCCAAACGTATGTCCAAGCATAGTTCTTTTTGTAACGTCAGACGAACCTATATCGAAAACGATAATGGCTACCATATATACAGAACGAAGCGTTTCGTCAACCTTACAATAATTTCTCACATTTGATAACGTTGACACAGACCGATAAAGTTTTGACGATGCGCTTAATTTTCAAAAAAAAAATATCGCAAACAAAGTAAAAAAAGTTGTCTCAAAATAGTCGCCTCATGACCGGATCGCTGATTCGTAGATTGTGTATGCGCATTTTTATCTGACTGAAGGGGTCGCTACAAGCATCCTATAGCTTCTAGCTGCGTCTAGCGATGACCTTCTTACTTTCCAGTGAGAGCCTGGAACCTGGGTAGGGCAAGACCAAATTTGGTCTCGATACCCATGAAGATGGGCAGAGCTACCTGGTAGCCACCAATGTGATCTGGATTGGTGGATCGGATCTCATCTGCCACTCCCATGGCGGGCACCTTCTGCTCGGAGCCGCTAGGTCGACTGTAAATAATACCAACTCTCGTTAATTTGTTCTCTTGCCAATTGATAAAGCGTCACGAACTGGAGCGCTTTTTGTCTTGTACTATTTGCTTTGGGCTTTAACAGTTTTTCTTCTACGGAATCCTTTCACGTTACTCTTTCATCTCACATGGGTCACGCCTGATGCAGCACTCTGCCGATCTTCAGCTTCGGTGCAGGTCGTTCACAATTTGGTTGTGACGATACTTCAAGGCTACATAAGTACTAAAGAACGTTCTTGTGCCTTTGTTTAATGGGAAAATATGAACTTCTATAAGGCACTAATTCTACTATGATGGCATAGTCTAGTTTAACGAGGGTGTTTGTCGTTAAGCCATTTTTCAAATATGGTTACATAAACTGACATACAATTCTTTTAAGGGACACAAGTCTAACTACCCTTGCTCGCCATAGTTCATTCGTAGTGTAAAGATATAAGCATGTTCGTAGCTGTAGCTTTGCCTATGTGGGTCAACTGCGTAGCATTGTTATGCAATTTTTTCAAAGCGCAGTTGCATTACCATGTAGTCTCTACAGGTCCACGAGAGGATATCATGGATTAGTGAAATAATCTGTATTAGCTTTGTTAGGATAAAATGCAAGAAAAACATTAGCTGAAAATAGAGTATTCTGACTGATTAGAAAAAAAAAATTAATATTTCCTAGTTAGTAAAAGATAATTTTGACAGAAGTCAAAAGCTTTTTGGATTAACCTCTAGAAAGCGGGAAGCCGATTTTTTCGGATCTACATAGGTCTCATATTTTTCCTACAATATCACTCTAACATATGTATTAATGATCCAAGTGAAATACTTTCAAAGTCGTTAAGAACTATATACCCATTATCTAAAAGTTAATGACCAGAGACCGATAGCCGGATGTTAGTATAGCGACGTCTAGTTCAAACCAGGATTGTGCGAGGATTATTTTAAAGCTTCATCCCAGAAAGCACAAAGCGCCATATAGATCGAGATTCTCTTCGCTCGCTGGCATTGCGACGCGATGCGATGTACTTACGATCCTCCAAAGTCGACGAATAACAATCGCTGCAGTAATTCGTAGGTGAAGAGTGTCACGCCGAATTGAGGTGAAGATCTGAAGACTCGAGCTGTAAAATAGTTCATTAATAAACGTGAGATTATTTCATGGAAGTTATAGGTGAGTCGAGCAACAATTTCTCCCCCAATGGTTATATTCGCAAGGGGAATTTCGCACGCAGATACAACGTGACGATTTCGTAATGACTAATAGTATAGTAAAAATAATAATTGTCATTGTAATTAGTAATTAAAAAAATCTTCCTAGTACTTCGTTCACAGTAGTACGGTCGACGTGCGGGACCAATTAGATAATAAGTAAGAAGCACAGATGATTAACTCGATGACCACTCTGCACACGGACGTCATGAAAAGTGAGAAGAATTTGGGGAACTTGTGTACTTACTGATGAGTAAGTCTCCGGATCATATAAGGGAGGAAGAAAGATGCCGAATGATGCGACGGTGTGAACCGTCCGCATGCAATCGAACATCACAGAATATATTACTGACTGTCATTAATTTAAAAATTTAAAATTCTAAGAGCTCAATACTACTAGTATTTCTAAGGATGTTCTAAATAGTTTTGAGGCACTTCGAGCCAAGTCAATGAGTGATGCGATACGTTGTCCCTGTCGAGAGACGACAGTTTATCTCAAACCGAAAAGATGATAGACTTCAAAGGTCAGAGATAATCGGTAACGAAGGTCGTAGAGTGCAATGACATGGATTCCAGTTTGCTCGAAAATTCTGTATCGGTATGATAAAAGGATCTTGACATAGTGACGTTGCTTGATAAAAAGCGTACCTGTTGCGCCTTTCCAGAATGCCCTGGCACCTTCTTCCTTGTAGATTTTACGCGCGCAGTCCATTAAGCCGTTGTAGGTGGTTTGACCTTCCCTCGCAACGACCTACAATAGCAATAATAATTGTATGGATTTTTCTATAGAACGTTAAAGAGGTGATATGGAAGAGATTGAATTACCTGTAACCTAGTCTTAATGACGTCTGCAGGTGTGACCAATGCAGCTGCAGGAACACCAGCAATGGCACCGGAAAGAAGTAGAGAAATAGGTGTGTTATATCCGCCCTCGTCGGCCATTTTCGCTTTCGTATGAGCATACATGGGAAAATAAATAGCACTGAATGGTACATCACGTAGGAAACAAGCTCGGGCACCCTGAAATAAAGAAATTGGATTGTCGAAGAGGATATATTTGTTAATGACAAAAAAGCTTGACAATTGAATACTTCAAATTTCAAATAACATACCTTGTACAGTCCAAAGATCCCTAATTCCTTGACAACCGACCACGCTCTGACTTTGGAACCGCCAGCAATTTCTCCAGCAACCTGCAGCCGAATCTTAACAATCTCCAGGGGATTTGTGAATATGACTTGAGATCCTCCGGCCTGGAAAAAAAATAAAATAAAATATTCAACTTGTTTCATGGTCGGATAGTAACGAAGGGCAGATAAGGATAACAGTTAATGACGTCACTTACGCAAGCTCCTGAGATAATTTCACCGTAAAGGAGAATATTTCCTTTTTTGTCCATGAATTTATCTCGCACGAAGTCATTGACTGTGAGCTTAATGGCTTTCTCGGGAGCGACACCCATTAATTGGGGAACCAATCCTCGATATAATCCGAAAAAACCCTCATGACGAATAACCTGTCAAACGCAATGGACCAGCTTCATTATTAACGATGCAGGAGCAGTCTTCTCGTGAGACTTTTCGATTCCAACCTTTTTGCAACAGTCAAAACTGTTTCTGTACATAAGTTCGCCAATGAATGACCCCGTTCTCTGATTCTGCATTCGGGTTTTCACAAGATCGATGGGATACACGGCCGTGGCGCCCACAGCTGAAACAAAGTAACTTCCGTTAGAGCAATGATTAACTTGTTTACAAAATTTTCAAATTTATAATCAAATTCATTTTTGACGCACCTCCTCCAACGGAACCGAGAGCAAATCTGTATCCGCTTTCCAAAATTTGAACGATAACTCCACGCTCTTCGGGACTCTAAATACAATGAAAAACAAATTGAATACCTTATAACAAAAAGTTAACGGATATTACCAGCTGTATAAATTCACATAATAAAAAACTGATTTATACTTTTTTTTTTTTACTCATTGAACTCACCGATACTGCTTTGATTTCCGCAAGACGCTTTGTGATCTGCCTGAAATACTGTTCCGGTGTAATCACCACGAGATCGTTGTACACGATTTTTCTGTAACGCGTAAAAAAATCCAATTTCAATAACAAGTCATGAAAATAATTTTTATAGAAAGAGAATGTCATAATGTAATCCCATATTGCGAAATTATTAAAAAATATATATGGCGCTTGAGAAGTATTTTTTTTCTCGAATATGTCCGATTGTATAATTTTGTTACTGATCTTCAAATAAAATCTTCCTCAAGTAGATCCTAGCATGGTAAGAAATCTGTTAACGTGCGTGCGACATATTTCTAGCACGAGATATTCTGAAATACAAAGACGCACCCCAACCGCGTATCCGCCTCAGGATCATCCGTAGACCTGATCCGTGCAGCGTAAACAACGTAAACAGGTATTCTCAGTATAGTGTTAAATGCCGACCAAATGTGGAAGCAGTGTAATGCGTATCAGATTTATAAGCATGAAAACCAGTGAATGACTCATCGGACACATATGATAACTTAGTGATGATCAGCCTATTTCGAGTTCGTTCAAATACGTGTAAAACGATCTAAAAGAAAATGAATAGACAAAAGCTCTAAGCAAATTTCTTAATATCGAACCGAGTTCTCTTTTGCGATTGCTTGATCAATGTAAATTCGATTCAGCGGTTGATTGATGACCGTACTTTTTCTTCCGCACAAGAGGCACTCACCCGGTCTGATGAAGAAGGTCGCAAAGTTCAAAAAGTATATTCACTTCCAACGGTGTTATTTGCGACATCATTTGTGCGGAATGAAGAAATTCCTCTGTAGAAACATAATTGCGTTATTACGTGACAATAATGAATCCCGAGTAGATATACTTTGTAACAGTTCAGATAATTACTTATGAAACGCATATGAGTATTTGATTTTTTAAATTTATTTATGTAATACCTGTAAACAAGGCAAAGTATAATAAGCAGTATCATCACTGAGGATACGTGCCTTAAGAAAAACGTACTGACGCACCTTTGGTTACTTCCTGATTCCTGTGACCATTTGTTGCATTCAGGTAGATACGCTTGATAAGCTCCATATTGTTGAGCAGAGAAAGGAACGCCATGAAGTAAGGAAAACTAACTTTCTTTCCAGTCTGACTAGCATGTACAACCTGAAATAAGGCAAACAAAACCATTGTATTTGATCAAGATAATTAATGTTTTAACATTTAACACATTGTGGATTAATCATTTTATTCCTAATTGTACCCAGGGGGTCAGGTATGACGACAATGAAAATCCAACAACTCTCGTGATCTCGTCTCAAGCGTTAAAACAGAAACCACATAAAATTCTCGTGATTCGTGTAGAATGCGTTAACAAATATTAAACTGATCCTATATCGAATACTTGGACTGACCCTTAATACTATTATATAATTCATATTGACACTTACAGCAGAAAGATTCTCTTTAACTTCCTTAGTGAGCAGATGACTCTTAATACTAAGCATTATATCCTGGAAGTCTACAGCCGAGATGAATCCTTCGCCGTCCTTATCAAATTTTCTAAAAGCTTCCGTTGCGTATTCCTCATGAAAATCCTGAAAGAAGTATAGAACCTCAAACATCGCCAGATACAATGACAAGAGTCTATTAAAAAATGGTCAAAAGCTCACATGAAGAAACTGACTGAATTCGGCATACGTAATAAGTCTCTTCTTATCCTTGCCAAAATATAATTTAATGAAATCGCTATCCATGTTAAACGGCATCCTCTGATGCAGTACGGTTTTCTTCATCACCTCAGCGAACTCGTCTGAAATGTCAATGGGCCATTTAGTAGGAGGAATAAGATGATAAATGGTGTCCAAGAAATAAAGGCAAGTAGCTACCAAATGCAACCATTCCATTTCCATTAGTATCGAACAGCTGAAAAGCTGTCCTATAAAGGGCATCCGGTACGCAAAGCAGCCCCTCGAAGGCTTGAAACTCGGTAAAGGAGATGAGGCTGTAAAAGAAAAAAAGTTTTGAAATCCCTTTAACTTCAATTAATGTATATTTAAGTAAAAAGGCAATTATGCCTAATCTGTCTGGTAATCTTTTGTTTTTGTATATTTACATTCCTTGGATTTTACAGATGCCCACCAGGACTCACCCATCTTTGCTGGTATCAACGATGGCAGCAAGCAGCTTGACCGAGTCGGGATTGTAATCGGTATTCGTATAAAGGCCAAGGTAAGACCGCACGAAGTCAGCAGGGGTCATGAACTTCTCGCCATTCTTCTCGTGCGTCGCATACTGCAATCAGAGTGCACGAGTGCAATTAAAAAATTGTGATACGAGCATTAACGTTAATTACACTGTATCACAGAGAGTTAATACATTTTGAAGTTAAACGTAGATTTTTCTTCAAAAATTAATATACAGCTCTTCGTGCGTGTATGGTAGAAACTTTTTTAAATTAATCATTCAAATGCTTACCTACGGGAAAATTAATTCATTGCACGATAACGAAAAATTATTATCATTGCTTATTATCCTCATAATGGACCACTGATACTTGTTATCAGATAGGACAAGCAAAATGATCTTTTGGAAAATATTTAACGAAACTTTTAAATACCTGATTAAATATTTCATGGAGGCGATCACTGTTCGCACGCTTCAGATATCCAGAACCCTGAAACAAACAATTTTATTAATGCCTGAACAGTTTTTTGGGTTTCTTGTGATTGCGCCTAAAAAGTACTTAAAAATTTTCTTGAGAATATTTAAAACTTGTACTATCATTTTTTGCCTATTAAGAATAAACTTTGATGACCCTGAATCATTATAATAATTATCGGTATCATTTTTATCAGGAGACAAGGGCGTCATGACAACCAGATAAACGGCACCATACAAATAGACAAGTACAAGATATACAATAATAAGAGCTTCATAATGAATTTTGAGCTAGCTCTCCTGTGCACGGTTTCACAATTACATTAGAAAATAATAATAATAAAATTTGTTTAATACAAAGTTTTGGAGGAAAAAAATATAAATCATTCTTAAACTCAGTTTGCAAAGTAGCGATAATTCGATTAATTTTGATTCACATGAAGTCAAGCTATATCATCTATCCTCTGTACAAAGTTCTGTAAACGTGATAAAATAGGTAATACGTATAGTTCATTCTCATATATAATACCACAAAATGTATTATGTATTTAAGTCTGAGAATGAGTTAAGTTTGTCATAAAACGTTACGTAACACGTTACGTTATATAGTTCGTTAATATAATCGTTCATTCAGAATTATCAGACACTCCCAGATAAGTAATGAATTTTCCATTAGTTTCTACAGCAATTACAATTGCCCTGCAATGCGTCAAATCGCTGTAATACACGAAATAAAATTTGAACTTAAGCATCAATCATAACAAAGTACAATTTTAGATTCCAGTGCACAGTGCGATATTATGGGAATATATAATTTCCTTCGCGTGCATTCAAGGCAATAAATTGAGAAAAGAGTTAAATCAACTTCGCGTATCAACCGTCGGTCTCTGGGACGACTTGGGTTTTTTTAAAAATCAATTTCAATCTGTTTTTGTTCAACAATGAAGATATGGATGATCGACGCAGTTTTGTCAAATTACAAAGTAAATTTTATATACGTCCAAAAAATACGTAATTTTCAGGTTATTTTCATTATTTGAAAAGTTCACGTGAACTAATTCCCGAACGGTTAGGCGGGTCATGAATATCGACCTGGAACATAACCTTAACCCAGAGTTAAGAATAGTTTTGAAGACGGTGACATCGCCAGTATTTAATAACTGCAGAAGCGATTCAATAAAATCGATATGGGCGCATAACCTTTAAACTCTTATATTAAAGAGGTCCTAACCTAACTGCTCCTAGGTTAAGATATAGAATGATCAAACGATATAAAGAAATAGCCATGTAACAAAATCTATTTAAGTGTACAAGTACGGGTTAGGGATTAATCCGACATCAATGACGTTGCGAGATAATGAAGTAAATAAAAATAGATTAACGGATCGTAGAAGCATAATTGACAATATGCAGAGGCTTGGAACACATGTATTCCAATATAATTAAACAAAAAAAATCGTCTATAACGAGAAGCAACAACCACAACGAAATCGTTAAATTAATTGCAGTTCAAAATTATAGCCTTGTCACCACATTCCGTGGTGTATATAATCACTGATGCAACAGCCACAGTATAATATTCAATAGCATGAAATTTCTGTAGAAAAATATAATTCCCATAAATTAAATCAATAAGAATCACACAAAACAATCGAATCTATCCTCCTGCCGTTGGAGCAATGCGTCAAAGTGACGTAACCACCCACAAGCACATTTACGAAGTGCAAGGCTAACACTCCAAGAACACTCCAGGCCAAAAGTATCGGAAGGGAGACCAAAGTTTGCTCCAGTGACCCACTAGAGTTTAGCCTACCGTTCTCACTCTCTAAGGACGAACTAATAACTGCATCAACGATAGAGGGGAGAGATTCACATATGTGCTAGTCCACGTGGCTGCACTTCCGATCCTCGAATGCGGTAACACGTGTACGTTGAATCACAGTATCAAACATATACCTATATATGTCAGGCAAGGCCATCTGTGACCTGTTGAAAGGTGTGGCAGCACTGTCGTGCAATAAAATCCAATAAAGGGTAACAAAGCTCAAGAAAAGGTCAGAAACCATCGAGATGGCGAGTTTTCATGTAGCGTATAAAACAATTCCTATAAGAATTTATCACGTACTCTGGTATATGGCATCGTGGCCGGAAGCGACGGGCGTGTCTTCTGTGGACGTCAACGGCGAAGGTGACGAGGACACTCGTTTTACACGTGGTGTAATCGCGTACGCGTACAGTGGCCGGAATGTTCATTAACAGGAACAGAAATCCCGAGTCGTGGATGCGCGTTACATGCACGGACGTTACAACGAGACTAGACTCAGTTTCCATATAGCGACAGCGCCGGAGACGATTAGTTTTCCTCGCTCCCGTCGCCGCCGCGCCGGTCACTTCTTTTTCCTTGGTTAGCTCCCCTCTCTTCTTCAATCGTCCCCGCCATCTTCTATCCCTTCTCCCTCGCAAGAGGGACTCGTGAATTTTCACGTGATTCTAACCGACATTTCTGCTATCGCGCCGACGCTTTCTTTCTTTGTCCGTTAAGCTTGTTTGCTCGTAGATCCGTCTTCTTTCGTCGATATTTATTCCATCTCCCACTCGCTCGTCGCTGATTAGCGATATCGTTCAAAAATTACGGCTTTTCGCTGCGATTCTTATTGGCGGATTCTTTAAAATGCTAAAGAGGCACTTGTTGCGTAATATCGAATACCGTTTTTGCATAGATTGCGAAGAATAATCAATACGAGTTGTAGCTCTGGATATCAAATTTTATACCTATGTTTCCTACGCGACGTCAATGTTCACACTGAAAATACAAAGTGCTTATTAGTAAACCGGTCTTAATTGTCACTGTAATTAACGACTACACTGTGTCAAAGTGCTGATACATAATTTTATATAAAACTAAAATTTTCTAACTACTTGTAGAGCGTTGTATAATTTTTATTATAAAAATATTTAATTAAAGAGAAATTATATTTTTTATTCGAAATCGAAATTTAAACTGATAAAATCTGTCGTGACGGACGGAATGATAACTTCTTACACGGATATATCATTGAACCTCGCGCCATGTGTCAAATGGAAATATATTAATCCGTGACAATTAATAACGTTGTCTTTAGATCGAATTAGTATACTGATCGATTTTATCGATAGTGCAAACGAATTATGATTTACATGTGGACTCTACATTTTTCTTGGAAGAGACGACTTGGCGATTAGTTACCTTACATATTTTAGGTGAGTAATTGAAATATGAAATACAAGAAAAAAATATTTTCTTGCAAAAAAATTTAACGATTCAAATTTACTGCATGAAATATTTGTTGTCTTTGCCGATGCTTATATTTTGTACCGTTGTTATGGTCAGTAGTGTCTTTTCAGTCGCTGCTTGGGATGACGCACATGACTATCAAATTTAAGAAAACTTGACACGATCTTATCAGTGGGTTTCAGTATAACGCGACTACTTGATGTTCTGAATGTAAATTTATGTGGAAAAAAAATTTTGTCAGAAAATATAATCATTTTTTTTTATATATCGCAGTGTAAAAAAAATCCATAGGTGTTTACGTAGCTCGTGTTACAGGTTAATGAAAAATTTACAACCGGAAGTTGATATATTTCCTATGAATTTTATTCCAATTAAGGTTAGCCACTTGTTTTAAATTACGTACACAAAATTTTACATGCACACATCCCATTTTATACGTGGCAACACTTCTACATATATGTTCTATGTGGTCGTGACCGAAGATGAACAAAACGACTAAGTACTGAATGAATCTGAACGGTGCTCTTGAATATTAATTTCGAGTTCAAGTTCATTGCTACTGTCAGTACTCGTATCTTCGTCACGTGTAACAAGTGACTTTCGAATTGATCTACGCACTATCATTCAACCTTGCTCAGTGATCCGGACCAACTGAATTCCCATACAGCCCGTTCAGAAAGCCGATCAATTCTTATGGAAGTCAAAAAAAAATTCTCTCACGTAACTTCCGATAGTACAATTTTGTATTGTCAATAGTTTACTTGGCCAAAAGTAACTCGTGCCGAACCATTGTAAATCAATAGAAAATCATTTGCTATCCTTGGCAAAAAATATTGGCAACGGGAAATTTTACTACGGGCTTGACGTACGTTACGTTAACGTCACTATCGAAAGACTAATGTAACGTGCGTTACGCAGTCGGCACGTTAGCACAAATAGCCGAGGGCCAAACGTCTAGGAAAACTGGACGGCAGCCCATGACTGCGGCTTAAGGATTTTCACCTCATAGCACGGATTATTTTATATTTTTAGAACGATCGTTAGAGTATCGATAAGGATCATCTGGTTTTGTATATTTTAATGAAAATCACGATAGCCGTGAAAAACAATACAAATTATTAGACTCTCGATACGTATCCAATAATAAGCCACGTTACATTAATATTCCAATTTTTCATATCCCACAAACCTCCATATAAAAATGGGAAAATTCAGTATCCATTCCTCGAGTTACCCATTCGCTAAATTATCGCTATTCGCACGAATAATAAAATTCATTTATAAATTTTCGATCTCGAGCCAGTAAAAATTTCGATGCTCAGATCAATACCAAAATTCTAAATCACTGTTCCAAAATTCGATCAAAACTAGCTGTCAATAATCACTCGACACGCGTATTCCCAAATACTTCCCGTGCATTACACATAGTACACAGTATTAATAACCACGAGGAAATATCCAAGTCCGACAAAGTATTTCCAAAAAACAAATTTCAATAGTCCACGGCACTAAATCCTAACTGTAAATTTAACATTCACCCTACCTAAAAAAAAACTTCAATAAAAATCCAAAAACGTATAATATTCACAAAAAAAGAAAATCCCATTCACCAGTCATAAAACGCAAATGTACGATCGACTTAGAAAAAACGAGAACGAAAAGTGCAATAAAAGTTCGTAAATAAAATTGCATTAAAAATATTACCGAATTTTCAATGAATAAAAAAATTGCATAAAATTTCAATATAAAAAAAAAAAGTACCAATCAACGAAATATCAGTGTCAAGTCGAGAAAATAAATTTCTCAAGGTGACCTTCGTAACCGACTCGACCTCCACCTTCCATCCCTAAGAGAAGACTGACCTCTTGAGGGACGCTACCGTGCCCCAGCATTTTCCTTCTTCTTACGTAACAGCCGAATCAGCAGGTCAACCGCTCATCTAGCAGTCGGTAAATCTTCGTAGCATTCGAATCGTCGATCGATATACTTTCGCTTTATTGGAATCGATAAAATTATAATTTAGTCAATCGATCACGCCACGGGCACTGTTTCGCTTGAAAGCACTTTAATGTCGTGAAAAAAAAATCTAGATCCTTAATTCAACGTTGTAAAGATTTTCTTAAAAAACAATGACTGCTTTTTCCAGTACTTTCCAGTACTCCGACGAACTCCAGCTTGTACTTATTATTTCAGGGTAACGAAGATTCAATGACGGCTCGAGATTCGCGTTTGCCAGGGAAACTTTAACGAGTCTGAATGAGGTCCCCGACCTGACGACTGAATGACGACTTAACGGGAGTAGGTGCACAACAGGAAGCCCCGATATAACGGCTACCGGAGTGAACCTCGCGAATCTGGGTGGCACTGGCTCCGGGATAGCGAGAGAGCGAAGAAGAGGGAGTCGAGCGGCTACTGGGAGAGGGCGATGGAGAGATGAGAGAATAGAATGAGAGAGGGCGGGAGGGG